AGAGATGAGTTGAATGGATTCGTAAAGCTCCAACCATAGCTCCAAGGCAGCCCCACCACAGCCTCCGATGGAATCAACTTACGACTCCCTTCCACTCGTCCCTCAAACGAAATGAAAGCTACTCCGACATAAACTGAGTTTTTTCTGTTATAAGAAGGGCTAAAAATCATTCTTGCCAGAGCTTCAAGTTAACGAATCTTTCATTGATCCCTTTTTGATAAAATCGGATCAGATTTTCTTTTTTGTATAACTTAAGTTAATCGAAAAGCTGAACATTAAACGCTTTTCAGAACACTTTGACCGTATTTGTAATTTTTTATTTCATTCCAATCCTTTTTACGGAACGACTTCCAATACTATTAGTACGGCTTCCTGCTGCAGGAAACAAAAATTCGATTTGACATTCCAGATTAACCAAAATTATTCAATCTCTCTTTAAATCTTTATCAGTGCTTCTACTTATTTCAACCTATTTATACCAACCATCGATTGGTAAGATTGTTTTGCCCTACTCTGCCTTGGTTATATTTATCTTACATACAGTTTCTGGTATAGCCATTTACTTGCTTGGAGTATGAGCTATTAGGTAGCCACCATTCTCTCTTGTTCAATCACAGTCACTTTTTCTTAGTTTCTCACTCTCTCACCCTCGAGCGCTCCGCATCTAAACTGATAAGCCGCGCTTTGAGATTGTCAAATTGAGAAGCTGTTTAGCCAAAACTTCGACATGTGCTATGAGTTTCCATCACCAGTGTCCGTCCGATTGTTTATACGTTCTAGTTCAGCCTCACGGGTCCACTCAACTGTACTCTAGGAACTGGCTCAGCGCGAGTCTGCATCAACTCATCCAATGCGAAGACCCACAAATATCCACACACAAGAATGTATCATTGCACAAGCATATATATATATTTATATATTTATATATATATATTTGCGAACGTGTATTTTAAGAGGTTGTCAATTCAACTTTTGTCTGCAAATGTTAAACGCAAGCCTCTTGGACAAAATGCACTCGGTTGGGTGTCCACTTCTATTGCATGTAATTTAACTATTCCAAACAATAAGCAGTATGCATGCTCTCTATCGTCCACATGCACCCCAGAATCGGCTTATATTAACGTTAAAGCAGCCAGATATACACGGATGCGTACAGGCATACACTGATACGCGTTACCTCAATTCGTTGTTTAAGGCCACGCACGCCTTCGAAAATGTCTCAAAGCTATAGCTTTTTCACATTGTTGCATTGCAACACCTTGCGCAGATCCTGGTTATGCTGTCAACTCGATCGACCTCAAGTCCTGCAACTTCGGTCGCTACTTGAGTTGATTGAAGTCACTCATGCTGGCCGAAATCTTGATTGTGTAAGCGTAATGAATGTCTTGCACACACATGTATGTCTACTTGTGTATGAGCCCCTATTTCACTAGTCTGTTTGAGCGGCTGGCTGCTCTTTGGCCTGGCAAAACCCAGCCACACTCCAAATGATTCTGCGAGCTCGCTTTTCTCAATTGTCGGCTCTTTCCGAGTTCTTTTAATGCGATTGGTCCTGATCAATGTGGTTCCCGTTTCCCAAAGACCACTCTTTCGTGATGCCTCTTTTAGCAGCCATCGCAGCCGCACATGGGCACTGCATGACTCTACATACATCGCACCGTACGCATATACACGCAGAACTACATGCATGTCTACAGACGCACAGTTACACTCATGCATCATCTCTTCTCAGCAACTTGTCCCAACTAGACATCTACATCGCCTTCCTAAGACTGACTCATTTTACTCTGTCTGAGACCCAGTGCCTTCATCCGACCGGTGTAAACATACTTTGGGCGCTTGTCCGCACATTTTGTCCCATCTGCCTCGACCGACTTACCTGCCCTGGTGACCTGGTCTCCACCTGGAGGATTACGTATACCTAATGCTGCTCTGGGCACGCCTTCCTGTATGCCGTATTCTCCAGTTAACTAGGACATAGATACATATACATATAGGCATGCATCTACAGCCATCAGACAACTACACATTTTCCTAGCCACCCAATCGACTGGAGCCTAGCATCTTCCCTATTGAGTCGTGCTATTTTACCTACTACACTCTGTTGAGACAGCCTTAGCCTCAACCTCAGTCCTTCTATTCTGCCTTTCCTCAATTCTCTGCCCTTCGCACTGCCATGATTCTCTCGTTCCGTTTTTCTTCCTTCTAACTTGGCACCCCAACCATTCTGCCCTATACCCTTCCTATTGGAAGGTAGAAAAGGTGAGGCGTTGAGGCTGGCCCCTTAGTCATGTGGTGGCGGCCTCAACAACCTCATCTTCTCCCTGCCTTGCGCACAGGGTAGAATGGCCAAGTCTGCCTCCAATCTCGTCTTAATAGAACCGGACACGAGTCACACAAAATTGGCACAGACACACAAACACACACTTAGATTCTCTCGGTTCGTGTACTCCGATCGATAGATTCCAGGACCAGATAGCGGGGATGTGCACTCGACATGAGCTGCTGTACATGCGATGAGATGATTCACTGGTAGGGAGCTTACCTCACGTCTCGTCATCTCTTTGAAGGCTTCTTTAAAACTTCAAATAGTATACCGTTTAAGAATGATTCAATTTCTCCCCTTTGACAATATCCTCGCTTTCAAAATGGACACTTACTCGCTCTTGCATGATCTGTCCTTATTGTCCCAGTCTTAAAGCTCCAATCAATCTTAACTCACTTTAATTATGTCGTCTAGCCTTCTTGCCGAGGATGTAACATGGATCGGATTCTTTTTCATACCTTCCTCATTCGTTGCCTTATTCACCTTAGAGACTAGGTTATATCTTGCCTTAACACATTTTATTGTTATTATTTGATCTGATCCTCAATCTGATTCAGATTTTATCTACAATGCCAACTTTTCGTACTTAAATGCCAGAATTAATGAATTTCATTCATCGTTGACGTGAGGACTTAATTTCTATGTAGATTACGACTTAACGTTGCTTTATCTCACAAATTGCACATTCTCTAGGCCCTCCATGAAAAGTTAGTGCATATGTTTGCTATTCACCGTAAAAGTATGCAATCCACTAGGTCTATAAGAAGCCTCGATACTCGAGCATGCCATCAAGTGTGCCCTGTTTATTTCAGATCTTTACTTCAGTCCCTTCTTTTAGTAAGTCTCCACGGTGAATCGACTTTTCTATTGGCGCGTTTATCATCTTTATTCTGCACAAAGTATTTTTCTATGATAATGGAAAGTCTTCGTTAATCATACATGCGCGCCATCTATTTGTAATTGATTTCGCAGTCTATTGAGCCGCGATTACTACCAAAAGCTTTTATAAGTGTCATTCTAATATATTTTAGCTCAAATGTTTTATAATTTTAGATTTTCATTTTTTATACGTTGAAGATTGCGTTTACGATTATTCATTCACAATTGCTTACTGAATTTCGTAAACATTCACACTGCTTACACCATCCGTCTATCTTTTGTTTTACGTTTATTCTGGGCTTATCTCTACACCTTTCATATCCAGTGTCTATCTCATTATCTAGCTGCTTTTTTGCTTGAAATAGAAATAAAATGCTTTCCTTCAAGGCATCATGAAAGCCTGCGTAAAAATTTGGTTACTGAAATTGAAGCCTATTGGATCCTTCCCTTGTCTCTTTCTCCAACGGGCAACTGACAGTGCTTTCCTACCCTTCCCGCGTGACGACAATCGCTCATCACTTTCGGAAGACAGGCGAACTCACATATACACGTATAAGCTATATACGTATGTATGTGAATATAGATAATTATGCCCATGTTTGCATAAAGTAAGGTATTATGCCTGTGTACGAAGGAAATGATAGACCTTTGTGCACTCACAATCCCGCACTTTTCGATCTGCATACTGCAGGGCTCAATCCGCGGAATTTTTTACTCCACAATCTTTACGAACCCAATTACATAACTTCAAGCCATTAATAACTAAATATAATTCTAAAAAATTTAATTGTTAACTCATTGGGGCAATATGTTGCTCCCCTTGCACACCACCTATTTTCATTTTGATCATTTTCTTAACTGATTACCTCTCAAATGATTCCGTTTCTATTGAAACAAAGCGGCCATTCGAACTGGGTTGTCAACGGTGATCATAATAAAAGCTTGCATTCTGGCTGTAAATATTAATAGGATTTATGTAAATTGTCTCAGTTCAAATCGTGATATTGAATTTGATATTTTTATTTAACTGAATCGCAAAAGTTTTTTTTTCGAAGAATAATCC